GTATCGATCGAAACGCTGGTTCGGCACTGGCGTAGCCCTGGTATGGCTTCGGCACTCTGGCGGGAGCCTAAGGCGCAGGATTTACAACGGTGAAGATACGCGCAAGCCGAGTACGCGCCAGCTCTACTAACACTGCCATTGCGCCTTCGTCATGCAGTAGCCTCTAGTCAGTCCCATCGGGTGTATGTTGACCGCGATTTTAATTGCCAGGCACCAGTTAGCGCCTTTATATAATAGTATTTTATGATGTTCTAGGAGCAACACAAAGACTTCTGCAAAGATAACGTATGATTGCCTATGAGTTGCTCAATTTTATCATTATGGAGTAGACCCAAACCGTAGGCGCTGGAGGTCAAAAATCCGCGAAAATGCAACTGAAGGCGTTTTCGCGAATACTTTGTTAGCGACTGGTAGCTACAGATAGTTAGTAAGCTAGAGCGCCTCTTGTCCGTCTCTCAGTCCTATCTTGGAAATCTTATAAGATAGTGGTAGCTAAACAGACTGGCAACGTTTCTAAAACCAAATCATTTCGGCCAAAAATTCAGGCAAAGAATTTTAAACTCGACATTTGATATTCTTTTGCATGGCTGCCTGCTCGATGGTACCTTGATTATTCGCGGGATTGTAGGGATCCTGGCAGTTCCAGTTAATCGCAACGACAGGCTGTAGAAAAGTAGGTAGCACAGCTACTCGATCAGACGTTTTAGCAGATCGCCAAATAATAATGCAGGTAAGTTCGTCATATGTATCCTTATGGAATTTTTCGCTTTGCATTCACTTTTTCGCAATGCGTAAAGATAGATCTCAAACGGGAAGTGAAAGCCGCGTATTCATTTCTGCGGCGGTCAACACGGGTCACAAAAGTGGAAAGAACAAGTTCGTTGCAAGAACAAGCAGTTGAATAAATGTTTCAGTACAGTGAATAGAGTGCGCAATACCAAATTTAGACTAGATTTCTTTTCAACAAGGTTGCAAAATTTCTACGTAACAAAAAAGCACTTATGTGCACATTTGCTTTAACAACTCTTGCAGATGTGCATGCAAAGGCTAACATATGAAAGCCACATGCGGTCTCACTAAGAAGGCATCTTCTCGAACAAAGCAAACGACATCTCTTGCTGTGGTTCTCAGAATTTTCTTTTTGGTTTTTTGAGGAGGCTTAGCAGGAGTCACGTCTCAAAAAAATCTACAATATCTATTTAATACTGGGCAATCTCGGTATTTCCAACTATTAGGTTAGTGCAAAAGTCCTGTCGTTTCAAATTAAAAAATTTTGTAACTTCGCGAGATTTCAACGGATTTGCTTGCTTGTTATCTTATTAGGAAGATAAGTCTTTCGCTTTCAAACGCTATTTTGCGGAGCTTCTGTTTCACATTGGGTGCGGAGATGAAAATAGAAAATTAAAACCATGAACTTTGAGCATTTTAAGTTAGGTCACCAAAAATCTGGAATGGTGCAGAAAAATCTGAAATCTTCAGTACATATGTTTTTTGGCCTACTCTTTGCAATTGTAAAGAGTTTGTGCTGTTTGGACGTCTTTGTGGGGAGTTATGATTTTCGCGGAAATTGACATAATCAATTTTGGCTTTTTCCATAGTAAACTCGATATTCATAACTTCTCACAGAGACGTCCAAACAGCACAATTTTTTCACAGATGCAAAGGGTAGGCCAAAAAACGTGTACTGACAATTTCAGATTTTTCTGCCTCATTCCAGATTTTTGGTGACCTAACTTAAAATGGTCAAAGTTTACATGGTTGGTTTTCTTTTATCTCTGCACTCAGTGTGAAACAGAAGCTCCACAAAACAACGATTGAAAGCGGAAGACCTAATCTTTCTAATAAAATTGCAAGCAAGCAAATCCGTTGAAAGCGCGCGAATTTACAAATTTTTGAAAATGAAACGATAGGACTTTTGCACCAACATAATATTAGGTTGGTCCGAAAGTTCTGTCCCACCATTTAAAAAAATCATAACTTCTTTCTATCACGATAATTTTTCATGATTAAAAAGTTGTTGGAAAGAGTAATTCATGCACTTTCCAAATCTACCTTGGCTTCTATGTATCTATCAAGTTCGCAGTGCAGAGATAAAATTGAGAAAAGCAAATTGTTTCAGGTTTGGAATTTTTAAGCAAGCCCGTTAAAAAATCTAAAACCGTGCCATGAAATCAAAACAGCCAGTATCCTAGCTTTTCTGATCCTCTCTTTCTATATGAATAAACTTCGCGCTGATCGAGCTGTTCCTTTGGAAGTTATGACCGTTGCGGTCACTATAGCCCTCAACCTAATACTATCAAAAAACCTTGCCCGCTTTGCCCACTTCGTCTTTCTGTTGTCTAAAATGAGGGGAAAGCGTTAGTAATTAAAAAGAGAACTTTTTTTCTGAATTTTCGTTTATGTTAATCTCAGTATAATTCTCTATCAATCTTCTTCAGCTTCTCTCATTCGGATGATGACAGCCGTATAATTCACAAATAAAAATTAGAGCTAAGTACATTAATTTATACTTGTGTCTGCATTTTCCCCCTAGGCTGCCTTATAATGAGTATCTAGACTACCAAGGAAAATAATTAGTCAAGATAGTCGCATTGGAAGAAATGTTGGCTATGTAGCTTTTGAAGTTCGTTCTCAAACCTATCTTCGTCATCCGCAAAGCTTTTCCTGAAAGGAGTGATAAACGTTTTTCTTCTCGATAATCGCAGTCTTTTTTCCGCGGAGTGGAAAATCACTTCATCATTGTGTTTTTGGTATAGTATTGAGTGTTGGCCTCATAGACAGAAGAATAGGGTTGGGCTCCTGTCGTCAAAGTTTTCGCATTCCTCACGCTTTTGTCCAAGCCAGCCATTGTCATATTCTAATTATTAGGTTGGGAAGAAAGTTCTCGGGCATTGCATTTATACAAAGATATTGCTTCGATGCAAGCACCAATTAGGGCATGCTGTACATCATTGGATAGAGGAAAGCAAACACTACAAGACCATACTAATCACAGCCATGACTAATGAAATCTGTGAAAATAGAGGCGAAAATTCGAAGACATAGGAATTCGACAGAGCTTAGAGCTCACCTTCCGTAAACACTGTAACACTCACAAATATTTCAATATATAGTAGACATGAACTCACATGCATTTATGCAAGGTCTGTGTGGAATTTGAGGTTAATCAGCAGGAAAAATGAGACAATCGAAAAGTGGCAAACTCTGCCCCTATTGACCCTAAGCTCCTCCCACCTTCACAGGTATAAGCCGTGTATATGTGAGAGCGAAACTACAAACTTTCGCGTTCGTAAATGCATTACAACCCAAGATATAGCAATTTTCGCGTGAAAATGTCCGAAAACTTTCTTACCAACCTAATAGTTCCAATACAGCTAGTCATTTCATTCAATTATGTAGCAATTGAAAAATACTAGAACAACGCTGTGCAACAGTGTTCATCATACTCTATTAGTATGCCGCTTGAATGAAGCACAAGGGAAGAAAAGGACTTATAAATCTTTTCAAAGGAAAACTTTTTAGATAATAAAAATTTTGAGAACAGCGTTTTCAGACACTACAAAGCATATGCATCTCTTCCCATGTGGCCGCTTCGACCATGTACTTCCTGGTAAGTATCCCCTAATCGATCAAATAGAGGATGCGCTGTTTTTCACACTTCTGCAATTTGCGACTCTGAAAAATGGTCTTGCTTCACCTGTTTTCTTTCAAAATTGTGGACCCATAAAAATTCCCTTGGTTGGGATTTACATTACTTTGATTATGACTTGGCGCGATTTCGATCTTATGCATATGATAGCTGTTATACTATTGACTTGTTCGTCCATCTAATTTTGAAGAGTGGTGAAATGCCGAGTTCACACAAATTTTGACATTGTAAAGTGGAGAATTATCGGCCGTCATTTTTTGCATCAATATCCATAAGTTTCCAAAACGTCTCCCGCTTCTCAACATAACCCTCCAAGCAAAAAAGCAAAATAAAAGAAGGTAACATTGTTTATTTCCGAAGGCATGAACTTAGAAAAGGAAAGGTTCTAGATGATATGAAAGCTATAGAGACTTTTTGAAAAAGAGGCAGCGGACCTTTAACGTCAGACTCTTCTTCCCCAAACAAAAAAACTCGTTTAGAAAGGAGTAACACGACTTATGGAAAACATCGATACATTGCGTTGTTATTCCTCTGACTGAGAGTTACCAAAACTTCATTTTAGCTTTCAGATGGCTTACAATCAGAAATAGTTCATGCGTAGCAATGATACCTAGGAGGACTAGGATGGACAAATCCAAACAATCAAGTGCGGAGAGCTTGATTAGATCAGGACTCAAGAGAAACAAGCCTCCATTGCCTTCTACGCTCAGATGAGAAGGTAGAAGCTAACCGATTTTTTCCTCAGCGAACCCTTAGGAAAAATGAATCGTGCAGCTGTAGATGTTTTGAAGGGACTTGGCATACATGCAGTAATGTATGAAATAAACGAAAAGAGCTCTACTATGTTGACATGACCTCTACAACCTTTTTAAGTGCTTTACAACTTTTGTTAATTCTGAATTAGGCGTGGCTTTGACTTCGTACCTTGCAACGACAACTGTTTGTCGTACTTTAACGGAGCCGATAATGGAGAACAATATTGGATCGTAGTCGCTTTGGCGCATCGTAGCCGCGTCGTATCCAAAAAGACAGCAATTACGGCTTTTCTGACAGGATATATATGAACAATGGAGCTCGCAGTTAAAATTGGCTTTGCCGCGCAAAGCCAAATTTGACTGCGAACTACTGTTCATCAAATAACAGATCAAGGTCTTAGTGCACTCTGCAAGCACAGCACACAAATAGTGCGGGAGCGGCATGCCATAAAAACCCGTAAAAATTGATGATTTTCATCCTATTTCAGCAACGGCACAATTCATGATCCAGCTAAGCATGAGCCTATTTTGTGTGCTTTTTGCGGTAAATGGTAACAAAATTTCCATAAACACTGTATTTCGTATATATTCAGGTAATGCCACTGTTTTGCTCTGCTATACCAGAACCGTGCGACGATGTTCGTCTGAGCGTCGGGATTGCAGCGAAGCTTGAAACTGTTTTGGAGCAAACAATTGTGGGTTTTAATCCAGATGATTTGCAAATAAGTTCAGTAAGTAGAACCAGAATCTGAGAATGATATATTGCTTCACTGATAGTAGCATAAAAGCTTACACCAAAATCTTTTTATCTTCAAATAATGTAAAAAGACACCTTAGCGCTTATATATATCTGAACCATAGGTTACGCCTAGCATACAGTTGACACAAGCCTTTAATCTTGGTGGCTTCCCCTCTTTATCAGCACATAGCCAGTGCTAAAAGCAATTGACATCCCTTGATCAATTGCGTTCAGCACTGGCTCTGTGGTGATAAAGAGAGAAAGCCAACAAATTTGCAGTACCCTTATATTCTGGAATTCGAAGCCAAAATCAAACATTTCAAATTTCGAGAAATCATATCTCCATAAAATTCGTAATGTTTTGCCATTTGCACAAACATGTACTCTCCACATTAAGCGTTTGCGTGTAGATTTTGTGGAATTTTTATAACGCTAAAATATGCGAAACAGAACAGGCCAAAAGTTGAATATGTCGGTTTTTCGGGTTTTTTGCAAAAAAACCGATATTGCCCAAAATTAAAGTTGTAGGAATCAGAAGGTTTGCGTTTTTACTTTTACAGTAAATTATAAAATTCCCTATTTGGGAGGATTGAGGACTGAGGATTGCTTTGGCAAGAGCATGCCAAATTTGTTTTCTCGATGGCCGTGGAGAAAATTACGAAACTGTGCATAGGCGTGTCTCATGTAGAGACTGCGGACGTAAAAAAGTTGAAGGTCTTTAGGATATTTTGAGCAAAAATACGATCCTTTTTGATTCAGGCGTTTGGAGCCCTTTGAGACTTTGCTATTTGGGTGTCATTCTGTAGATCCTGGTTTGTTAATGCGACATAATTTTCCGAATAACCTAATACAAGTCGACTATTGCCACTAAACATCTACAAGCTGCAATTGACCTACGATTTTTTACTTACCATTTCTGTATATCTCAGAAAGGATCCACGTTCAAAAGCCGCAAAAGATGTGTGGCGTATTTACCATCAATCATTTTAGAGGGTCGACTGCGGCGTTATCTCCTCCGCTAAAATTATAGCAGGTCACCCAGAGTACAAGACAGAAGAAGAATTCTTCATTGGCAATGACGCTGCTGTCTTCTCCGTCTTCTTGAAGTATGTCTCCTTGTTTGATTCAGTCAGAACCACATCATTCTAAAAGATTGCAGCCGAACCTATTACGTTAGTGAGGTTGCGGAGCAGATTGTCCATGAGTGGAAACATGATTTCGAGGTACAGATCTCTTCATTGCAGTTTTTCTAATTATAGTTTCGAAAGAAAAAAGGAGGGCTAGACAGCCAGACGTTGAAGGTTTTGCTTAGGTAGTGTTGTTCTAAAAAAGGCTGTCAATTAAAAATGCTTCCGAGGTGCGAGCTGAAAACATTGGGAGATTGCAAACTATAACACTATTGACTGGAAACCAAAGAAGTGTTACTCTTTCTATCAACTCGCATTTGCCCATGTTTATTGTTCGAACAACAGCCTCACGAAAACTTCGTCTTGATCTCTCACCGCGAAGTAGCGGATTTTTGACTTATTCTGCATAATTCACTGATCTCAAAAGTATTATTCCAGTTGCTGAAGCAAAAGAAAGAATACAAGACTGACTTATTCCTTGGATGCGTCGGGGACGAGGACCACATTTACCTTTTTTACCTTAAAGTGGTTTGTGAGATACAACCGTCGAGGGGACGTGATGAGCCCAATGATCAGTGTGATAAATGTGGCCTATTAAAAGTAAGAGAATAAAACTTACGTTTTGAGTGCTCATTCTCTGCAAGTATGCCGCATAAACAAGAAGTATTTCAGCCCATAGTTTGTGGCAATCGTAAGTCGTAAAGGACAAAAATTTCACACATACATTTAAATTAATGATATTGCTGCCTGTAACGACAAGACCTTCGGACATTAATTATCTGCGTATGCTTACACTATTCTTATTTCGCACCCAAAGTTGCAGCGTTTTAGCACTTGTGCGACGAGAGAGAAGAAAGATATGCAACAAACTTCAAGACGTTGAGGAATTGTTTGAAGAACCTGTTCCATCACTTCAGATAGGAACTTGAAATCTTCACCAGAATAACTTTCATATATTTTCAGGGGTTCTTGGCAGCGATCTGGTCAAAAGAATTTAAGACGTGAAAAATTTTTTATAAAATAGCGGAAAACAAAGTTTCAGGAATTTTCAGGCATGGCATCTATCGTATATAGTACAACAAAACAACAAATATCTAATATTCGGCATATGAAGCATTAGTCGAGTAATTCTGTCAGGACAAAGCAGTTTGTCGGTTTGGGCATAAGTTTGTTTCTAAGTCAACCGTGACAGGATTTATTCATTCCTGCATCTCCCAATATAATTTTCTTGTATTAAAAACAAATTGGATTACTAACTACTCGTGACTGTGTAAAGCCATCAAAATATAGCTTCAATCGCTTATATGGGTACGTGACTCGAAAAAATGTGATCTCACATTTATTCATAGCTCTAGATAAATATGGAAGAACGAAAGATTGCGGATAATACTGCAGATTTGTTGGGATGGTTTGCCTGCGGTCAAGAATGAGGAATATTCAGAGGTCATTCGACCAGAACTTGCTTTGCTGTTAAATTCTCGTAGTGCCAAACATTTACCTCGATTGCATATGAGGGACATGTGAAAAACGATCCCTTATGCAGATGGTGGCAGCAATCAGGAATCGCCTCAAATAACGCCGTTCGGACAAGAGATTCGGTGAGTTGGATATTTAAGAAAAGGCTTTACTAACTAATTCATGTTTCATGATTATTTGGGCTGTTTCATTGATTCTTAGGCAAGTCGAGGTCGTAGAGCACCTGCTACAGCTCGAGGTGGTGGAGTATCTTGTGGAACATCCAGTTCCCGTGCTCGAGGATTGTATGACCCATTGATCCCAAGGGCACGTGTTTTCTGATTTAGTATGCTTGTAATCGTTACCGAAATCGCGGACTGCACTATGGTTTGGGTAATTTTTGTAGTTCCAAAGCATCGTTCAAAATTTTCTATCATGAGCGCGGAAACATTGGTTGAAAAAGGTTGCTAATCTTTTTAGATTAATAACATTTTTCTTCATCATTCACCATTCACTCAGACAAGGCCACGTTCTTCTAAGTACCTAGTTCTATAGACTTGTGTGCAGGTTTCTCCGTGAATGATCTTCATGTGATTCTGATATAAATCCTGAGCTTATTTTCATCTCTGCAGTGAAAGAATGCGCAACAGTCAGTGCGTATTTCGTTCATTTTCAGATCGTCCTCGTAATAGAGTGCGTTCCACGAGCGGCAAAGGCGATGATTCACCTGCGGGAGAGGGTGGATGGACTACTGCCGCAGGCGGCAATCATGCTTGGGGAAGTCATAATCAGGGTTGAGCAAGAGGTCAGGCACAAGTCTTTCCAAAACGACCTCCCCCCCAGTGAAAGCCCCTAAACGACCCCTCTGCTTCACCTCCAGGACCTCAGGCGGCTGTGATAATTCGAAGAGATCAGCCGTTTTTGGGAGGTTCTTGTTTTTTGGAGGTCTGTAGGACGACTTTCTGCGATTGCACAGCACACGCAACTTAACGGCAAGTTTTGGATTTTGGATAGCCCTACTTTTAGAGCTATAATTCCCACAGGGGTGTATTGTTTGGCTCCAAATTTGCAGTATTGCAAGAAGAGGCTTTGAGTTCAATACTCATCGCAGAAAAGGAGCGATTTTTAGATTTTGAAAACAAGTTAATCGGGTCAGGCGCAACCCCTCAAAAGCTCAGGCGGCCTGACCTTTTGTGGGGTTGCGCCTGACCCGATTAACTTTATCATTGAAGAAGCTTTTTTATTCAAGTTTTATGTGAATCGCTAGCACAACCCTCGAAGATTCCACAGTAAGTGTTTGGACTTGATTCGACTTGTTTCGGCCTTGTGGTAATCCGTGGAGTTGAAGCAGTCATGGCGAAAAACGCGCCGGTCGGAATTTTGGCATTATTTCTTACTCCACTATTTGCAAGCGATACAAAGCGCGATTTTTAGCCTAGACTAGTAGGGAACAATACTTTGTTACGAGTACAAAAAAACTGACTTTTCTCACTTTTGAAAACAAGTTAATCATGTTTGAAAATCACGCTTTTTAGTCGTTGAGAAACACTAGATAATGCAGTAAATAATGGTTTGCAGGGCTCATAGAGGTAATTTGACGTGCTCGGAAATGATACCCATTTCACACAGCAAGCTTCCTTGATGAATTTATAATATGTCAAGGTAGAAGATGAAGATTTGAGTTTTGGCCGAAACTTCGATTGTGGAATCAATCATTATGCTGTTTAGGACCGTTCATTCCTTCAGTACTGGTGAGGTCGCGATATCCACTAAACTAGTGCTTTTCTTCTTCACCTTAATCGTAGTATCTCCTCAATCGAACGAATTCGATTCCTAATCACGACCCCCCCCCCTCTTCTTACCCCAGTACGACCCCCCAGGTCGGGCGCGCCTGACCCCACGCTCAACCCTGGTCATAATAAAGATGGTGGACAACATGATGTATGGAATGGTACTCAAAGTTAGTCGTCATTAGTGTAGTGGCTTCAGTTTGTTCTTACAAATAGATCCTTCTACTAAATACTCAAACTTCAGTACTAGTTAATACGGTTGCATTTAACAAAGGATCCCAAATAGCAGTAGCGAACTGGAATGTGATACATATCGTTAGATGCATCTTGATGAGCTGATCCCAAATCTACCTTTCCTATCCGCTGCGAGAAATTCTGGAAGAAGTTGTGCGTTTGAAGGTGCAACTCATTAGGGTTTAATGCATGATGTACGATGCAAATATCCACCAGAAACACAAATAAGCTTTTGAACGACCTTGTCGAAGGGCTGCGACTTAATGTTTGCCATAATCATACTTTCAAACGCTCGTAACTTCTTTCAGAGAATCCCGCAAATAGAAAAGGTAGATTCAGAATCATTTTATCAACACGCATCTATCCTATGCATTTCGTTCCAGGTTGCTACTGCAATTTGGGATTCTCTCTAGTAAGCAGCGTGCATTTTAAGGTGCCAACAGTACATCAGTTGGCTCTGGAGCCAATGAACGCGAAGGATTTGAGCGTAAGAGTGAAAATGGACCCATGCCTGAATGGATGGACGACGGAGAAGATCAAGAAACGTAAGTTGCATCTGGTTGAAACCATGTATAGATTGTTTTTGATGTTTCTTTTTCTCAATAAAACTTGTTCTTTGTTTGAAGTGTTCACTGCGCAATCACTGGGACCAATTTTTGGGTCAAAGGGGAAATCGTAAAAAAATTTTGGGTCAAAGGGGAATTCGTTTCCGAAAACCCCTTTTGCCCACCTCGTGCCGGGCCCTGCCTGGTAACAGCCAACATTCTTCGCATAGATTCCGAATTAGCCGCTATGAACAAGGCTAATGCTTATGTCAAGCAAGGGATTTTGAAATTGCAGATAAACATTTGTGACAATCCCCCGCTCCGACGGGTCGCGAAATTTTTGAAAGTTACTCAAATGTGTTATAGAAATGTGCAAGCTTTGTTTTTACTCGTGAATAATTGAAATAATTTTTGAAAATTCTTAAAAATTCAAATTAGCCTTATAAAAAAATTGTTTTCGGGGGCTTGGCTGAGGCCACGCCCCCTTTTTCTGAATTATTGGGGTCAGGGGGCCGCAAAAATTTTGAAAAGCACCCAAAAGAATTTTCGGAGTGCCTTCGCCCCCCCCCCCGAGCGGAAATCCTGGGTACGCCAATGCTAGGTGGGTAGACTAGTATGGATCCTTCCTGACCAGATACGATAAATAAAATGTATAAGCTCCTTAGTATAATTAATGTTATTCACCCCAATTTCCACTGGATCTTGCGCCCATAGAGAACAAATATGCCTAATCAAATATGTCTGATTACCTTCTTGATCATTACATGAGGGAACGGGCTTGATTGCACCTAATGGTGACAACGTTGGAGATAGTTTTAGTTTAGATAGAATAAATGTTAAATTTACTATATTGCTCAGAAGGAACATCGCATGCGCTAGAAAGGAGCAATATGTAATTACCAATTTAGATTATTCACATATTTTGCAGATACTTCTGTAGAGACTTTGTTGAACGAACACGTTTGATGAGCCTAAGAGAATATTGCCTCACAGCTTTCCAGCAATGAGTGGTGGAGACCTGTTTTATAAGTGAAGCCCTGTTTGTGACTAGGAGGTTTATATCGGCATCTCTTGCATCTTTGACGTTTAAGGCTGCAAATTTCAATCCAGTCGCTGATATATTTGCTGGTCCACTACAGTATATTTTCAATTTGAGCATGATATGGGCTGAAGTACCTGAACGACGACGGGTTCCTTTCGCCGATCCAAAAAAAGTCACTGATTAGTCCAAAAAAACATTCTTACTATTAAGACTCGTTTTCGCAAGCATTTTGAAAAAAAAGGTCGAATCATATTATCTCATATGTCCTCTTATCTTGAAACCTGGGCATTGTATGAGGTAATCGATTTTTCTTCTGCCGTATACAGTTTGTTATTGGTAACACTTTATTGCCTTACGTTTCGGCTACACGCCGTCGTCGGAGGCTAAAAGGTATCAGTCACTGTGATTCACAATCTCGGCCGTCAAATACCTTTCCCGTAGCCCACTCGATTCGTTCCAAGTGAAAGTAGAGAGTTTGTGGGTAGAGGGAGTGTTACTCACCAGAGTGTCACCAGTGTGTAGCAGTACAAGCTGCTTCAAGTATGCTCGATTGACTGCTGTCGGAAATGAGCGGTCGTGGTGTCAACGGACCGCTTAAATAGAACAGACAATCTTATAGTTTGCAATGCGTTAGATAAGGCATCAGATCTGTAGTAATAGATAACTGTTCATTCTTGCTGTTGAGCATTGGGTCGCGGGCAAGAATGTAGGCCGCCTCAAGCATTTTTCTCGCAGATATCTGATTCTCGTAGGCTAAAATGCTGCACTTGATATCATAATCGGTACCACTGTGTTCAACTTTTCTATGTTTTCCTAGTGGACTTATCAAGCTCTGCCGTCTTTTACTAGCCAAATGCTCACTTACGCGCACACCTAATGGTCGGCCAGTTTCACCAATATAAATGGCAGAACATTCTAAACATTGGATTTGATACACAACACCAGATTTAGAGCAGTCTCCCAATTTTCCACTGGGGCATACCACGCAATCGCGGGTGATGCAAGCTCTGTCATAGATCCTGTTACGGACCAGTTGTTTTTTGATGTTTTTTCCTGGTATATTTACCAGGATGACATCGTTTGAGCACTGTCTGATTGCAGCGGTGACCCTTTCGGAGATGAAAGGTGGGCACAATGGTATTTTACTTATGTTCTGCACACTTGCCTTTGCCGATGTTCTTTTTGACCGTCTGGGTCGCGTCATATATCCGTTCGAGACCATGATTTTTGCTACCATTTCTAGTGCTTCCTGTTTTTCGTTATCGCCGCTGCAGATGTTCACTGCCGTTTTGACCATGTTCCGAATTACTGCGCGCTTTACGCCTGTCGGATGCGCGGACTGTGCGTGTAGAATGATATTTTTATTGCTTTCCTTTCTATACCACTTTATGCTCACCGATCTATTAACCATCATCAGCTGCGTATTAAGGAATGGAAGCCAACCGTTGCGCGGTTTCTCTCTTGTCAGGCTTATGTATTGCGACTGTTCGTTTAGTATTTCAAAGCACTTGTCCATTTCGGACAAGTGCTTTGAAATAGCTAAGACGGGTGCTAAGCGTTGACCCATCGCCAAGCCTCTTATTTGTGCATAGTACTGCCCCGACCACTTGAAGATATTGCAACGTAAGCATTCCCTAATTAGAGTCTTTATGCGAGCCTTGCTGAGACCGTACATCGTCATGCGTTTACCATGCAATTCTAGCATCTCGGAAAGTGCTTGCAGGGCGTTTTCATTGGATACATTTGTATACAATGAATTGACGTCGAACGACTCAATTGCACAATTACGCTCGAATTTCTTCTGGTGCAAAAGCTCAAGGAAATGATTTGTGTTACTCAAGTAAGCGGGGATTTTGTTCAAGAGCTGGCAAATAATTTGATTGAGGAACCATGAGATTCGATCAGTTGGACCATTGACGCAGCTGATGATGGGTCGTATCTTGTAAGACGCTGCGGATACAGATTGCATTTCAAGTGGAGAAAGTTTGTGTGTTTTAACTAGGCTGTGAAACACGAGGCATGTAGGTGTATCGAGTTTAAGTCTACTAAGGAAATTCTCAGGAAGACCAGCTTCTTTTCCTACCAGTGTCCAGACATGATTCAACCTTTTGCATTGTAAGAGAAATTCTCTTTCATTCGTGGGTTGATAGATGGTCTTGTCTGACAAGTGGTTCTTGGTAATCTCTTGATCTAGAGTTTGCGACATGATTACAAATTCCCCTCCTTTGTCGCTGACCGACAACCGGATAGTACCGTTGTTAGTAAGCTCCCTGATTTCACTAAAGCCTTGTTGTTGCGTACGCGTCAAGTTAGACCTTCTGATACTTTTGTTGTCATTGAGAACTTTCAAAATACCGAGCGAGAGTATTCGGAACTTAGTGTCTGCAACGGCATTAGGTTCAGGTTCCTTGTAGAAGGAAGCTGGAAATGGCACTATCGGTAACGTTCTTTTACTAAGATTATCGCAGGGTTGTTTTTGGCTTTCAAGTTTGTCGCGCTTTAGCTTGACTCGAAGTTGGTCTCTTAATCTGTGTAATGATCCGAACACACTGCGGTAGGTGTTCGCGCTGATATTTTGGGTAAGTGCAAATGAGGGTCCCAAGCTCAAGAACTCAATGGCGTTAGTGGAGATCTGAGCGTTACCTAATACTGTAACCTTTGCCATTCTTCCGCCATCGCAAGTCTGAGCATTTGCACTATCGGAATGATCAAAAACTGGTGAAATCCCTCTAACTCCAACAGAACCCTGCTTACCTTCACTCGAAAGTCTTTCGAACTTTTTGCAAAGCGTGGATTTGATATTAGACCACAGCGAACTGCAAATCCGTTTTGATGCGCTTTCAATCCTCTTCCATTCATTATCATTTATATAGCATCGGCAACATTCTTCTTTGGCTCTGCACTTCAAGAGAGTCGAGTAGAACACGTGTTGTTTTTCTTTGATCACCACTTTGAGAAGTTTCATGTTAAATCCACGTATTATTTGATGATCCTCCGATAAACCGCACAGTGCCCCTAACTTCTTATTTGCGATGAAGTGGGGAAGCATCTCGGTCGACTTGCATCGTTTGAGGAAGTTCAGCTGCTGTCGGGTGACCACAACCTTCTGACGAAGCGCCAAGGCTTTGTGCAGTAGCGAGGACAGGTTTGGTGGTATGTTTGATATTATCTCATATGTCCTCTTATCTTGAAACCTGGGCATTGTATGAGGTAATCAACTTCAATGATTTTTCTTCTGCCGTATACAGGTTGTTATTGGTAACATTTTATTGCCTTACGTTTCGGCTACACGCCGTCGTCGGAGGCTAAAAGGTATCAGTCACTTTGATTCACAATCTCGGCCTATAATGAGTTTGGGACTGGGCTCGAAACTGAGATGATTTCATCCATAATTTTTGGGCGTTGGACAGTACATTCGTTAATCCCTTCTTTTTTATTTCTACGAGCTCGATAAAAGTCTGAAATTTCAATGAAATTTCAACAGGCTTTTGAAGTCGACTTAGTTCGGAGCCACGAGCTATAAAGGTGGAGTAAAGTTCCTTTTTTCCAAACACAATTAGGTTCAACGCATAGTAGGTATTATTCATTCTAGGACTAGGAGACGCGAGATCGCATTGCACACATTATCTGAACAAGCCTAATCATGTACTTGTCAGGTTTACACTATTTATTTACATCGTCGAGGTTTATACACTCTTTAACAGGAAAGAACAAACCCGAACTTGTTAAGACGATGTCCGCAATGCGATCTCGCGTCTCCTAGTCGTAGAATAGATGATATTTCAGAGCTTTGAGATCTAGCCTTACATGGAAATTTGAACTCCAAAGGTTGCAGCGTTGGGCGAGAGAGTTTTCGTTGCAGTGTTCGTATAGCCGGTCAAAAACGTGTGTTTCACATGATATCAATGCTTTTTTGCTCTTCTTTAAGAAAGCTTGGGATGATATGGGGTGTTCGTAAAATT